AACGCATTTGGCAACATCTCAGTCACAGACTCGGTGTCATATTGGGACGGACCGTTTCATCAAGACCAGAAGTACTTCATCTTGGGCACCGCCCAGGCTGGAGAATCTGCCACTGGCAACTTGAAGTCGAGCTCTTTCCGCGCCACGTCCAAGTTAAGCTTCCTGATTGGCGGAGGTTATGATCCGGATCATCTGTACGTCGGTTTAGTCAGAGACCACGACAACGAGCTTCTCCTGAGGCAGACGGGCATCAACGACGAAGCCCTCATTCGGATCATCTGGGACACGAGCGAGTGGGCCGGCCAACAGGTACACATTATTGTCCACGACAGTAGCACGAAGGAGTCATGGGGCCATATCAACTTTGACGACCTACGAATTGGGCGCCATGCTCTTGGCAACGGTCCAGGTCAGACCTTCCATATAATCGGACAGTCGAACCAACCTTCGGGTGACAGTTCGCCAGCATGTTCTTTGTATGCCGAGGATCCAATCCGTCCACAGTATCACTACACCCCGTACCAGGGGTGGATCAACGATCCTGCCGGACTTTCTCAATGGAACGGACACCACCATCTCTTCAGCCAATTCTTTCCCGACTCTCCTTTCTGGGGACCCATGCACTGGGCTCACGCAGAGAGTACCGATGCTGTACACTGGCGCACGCTGCCGGATGCGCTCTCGCCGAAGAGGACTGAGATCCCAGGAGATGATTCAGGACGGTTCACTGGAAGCGCAATGATACACGAAGATGAACTACATCTTGTCTTCACGGAATACGTTGATGTGCGGGCCCACCCGCATGCCGTGCAAGAGACCGTCGATGTCTCAAGCAGCAAAGACGGCATCAACTTCAAGCCTTACGCTCACAATCCGGTCGTTCCTGGCCCTCCCGACGGAGCTCCTGTTTTTTTCCGTGATCCCAAGGTGTTCTATGACCCGACGGACGACTCTTGGAAGATGGTCGTTGGTGCAACAAACAGCGTTGACGGGCAGGTGCAGCTGTACCGTTCCATCGATGGCCCGTTCTCCTGGTCTCATGTGGGCATCATGTACACTGGAAATGGCAGCACCGGCCCCCTTTGGGAATGTCCCAATTTTTTCCCTCTTGAAGATAAATGGGTTCTCTTTTATGGAGGAAACGGCCTGGGGTGGTACGAGACCGGCACCTTCAACGGATCAGTATTCATTAGTGAGAAGCGAGGTCTCCTCGATGCTGGCCCCGCAAGCTACGCAATGCAGTGGTACAAGGATGAGTCTGGGCGTGATCTCGCCATTACTTGGATGGGCAACTGGCCGACTCCAAAGTGGCCAAGTCGCGCCAACGGCTGGGCAGGACAGCAGTCTATCACCAGAGAGCTATTCCTTCGCGATGACGGAGGTCTGGGTAGCCGCCCCATTCCGGAATTGGCGAGTCTTGCTCAGGGCAAGGTTCAACGATCGGGGCCCGTACTTGTGGGCGATATGGCCCACATCATCGGGAGCTCGAACACGGCCAGAGTAAAGCTCAGCATTGACTTGGGAACCACAACAGCTTCTTCTTTCACGCTGGCTCTGTTCCAGTCGAGTGAGGAATCTACCCTGCTGGCTTATGACGCTGAAATTCAAACCTTGACCTTGGACACTACGGGTGCGGGCTACGGACAACCTGGGCTGTGGGAAGCCTCGATTACGGTGTCTGTGGAAAACAAATTGACAATGGATATATTTCTTGACCGTTCGGTCCTGGAGATTTTCATCGGGGACGGCACCGTGTTTTCTGCGAATGTTTTTCCTCGCTACCAGGAGTCGACCGACATTAGCATTGTAGCTAAGGATGGTGTTGTTGCTCTTGAGGCCGCCTCTGTAACGCCGCTCGGCTCGAGCTGGTGTTGAGAACAGTCATTGTCAACAGATTGAGACTATGCCTGGGTTGATAGAACAACACGTCTTCATTAGCTCAGCCATAAATTAACGTAGTCTGCTCACACCCATACTACTCCTATCAATGCGGGATTTTCTTTAGTGGCCTGACGTCCGGCAACGCTTGATCTGAGTTCACTAACCGAGCATCCTTCATGTGCCGTGCTAAGCTACAGGAAAGTGAGGGGTAGGCCAGGGCAGGGATCGTCGCCTGGGGTATTGAGTCCGGGGTCACAAGGGGGGCCACAAGGGGGGCCACCATTTTGCACGGTGCATCGCCTGCAGGAAGCCACATGCTGTGTGAGTGGCCACCCAACCAAGTCAGACCATTGTCCCAGCTGGTCACCTTTTGGGCGTTTTGAGTACAAAACCACGATCCCCGGCTGGGAATATCTGAGATGCTGAAAATTAAGTCCCCCCTTCTGGGAGCTTATAGAGAACTGCAACTGCTATATAGTCGTTCAACCTTTCGAAATGGCCGGCCTACCCACGTCCGAGCAGTTGAAGCCGACCGCTCACGACAAGTTGACTCTTGAAGCATGGTCGCAAGGGTTCATGATTGGTGCCCTCATCATCATGCTTGGAATCACGCTCGCGAACATACGAAAGGGGGTCCTCCTGCATAAGCTTATCTTTATAGAGGTAGTCGCCGTGTTCATCCCAGTGCACTTTTCGGATTGTTTACTAAGACTGAAGCAGCTCATACTTGCGGTCCCTAACGGATTTTTCATCTTTTTCGAGCCACCGGTCTATGGCTGGTTTCTTTCATCGACAGTCATCATGTTGCTCGCGTCTTGGACTCTGCACAATGTTATCGCGTGGATGAAAAGCAAACCTTTTCTGGGACGTCGAGGCAACCTGATTTACATCGGCAGCGTCATCCTGGTTCAGCCCTACTGGATCTTGGAAGTCTATGCGAACTTCGCCTTCTTCAATACCCCCAATAGTCGTCTCTTCGTTACCACCCGGCCTTTTGAAGCAGTCTTTAGGTAATGGCGTCACTCTTTCTTATCCCCGTTGTCGAGTGTATTGAGCTGACACGATGGCGCCAGAGACCCATGGTGGATATTCACCATTGTGAATCTTTTCTGGAATATAAAGTTCCGTTACGAGCTTGACTTCGCCACAGTTGTCAGAGTCTCCCCACGTTTTGGGGTCCTACTTTTCTGCATGATTCTCAGCCTGATTTTCATTGTTGTAGATTTGCTTTCAGTCACACCTGTGATTAACATCGGTGTCATCAATCCTTTCTGGAAGTTTGCTTTCATTTTCAAATGCTTCACCGACAGTATCATTCTTGACGACTTCAAGGCGTCTCTCGACAAACTGAGTCAACATCGTCTAGCCCAGATTCTTCCCTTTAACATCATGGGCAGCGCAGGCTGCGATCACGAGTTTCGCCACAAAGCTGGGGCTCAAAAGGCTATGTGGCTTAGTGGAGGCCGGTTGCAATCTGATCCAAGCCAAGACAACGATGCCCTGTCTAGAACGAAGGAGGTCGAGCTCTTAGACGATGGTGACTTGAGTTATCCACCTCCTATAGTTGTCCGCCACATAGAAGACCGAATCTAAGTTGATTGTTCGCTTGATGCATCATAGCCTTAAACAAGACCAATGTGCCGGGCAACGTAACTGCATAATAAGGACTTATCCAGCGACGGTTTACTTGTGTGAAATAACTCCCAGGATGGCACATGGGCAGCTTCAGATAGCCATATACAGTGCAACGCAACGCAATCAAGGTCATCGGCGGGCATATGGTCTCTGCGACTGTCCACATTTACATGTGCCCGTGATGTGTAAGAAGACTCAGCCTCTCAAGTCCAATTTTCACTCACAAGCAGATACTAGAAGTTCATCCCAGCTAAAATTTGCCATAAAGGTATCGCCATGCTGATGAATGTTCCTAACTCAAACGCAGCCTGTGCGAGTAGATGGGGATCATGGGCGCTAGGACTATGCATTAGCACTAGCGGAGGCCGAGCGCGGTGTCTTGTCTAGGGTTACGTTTGGTACCTTGTGGCAGATTGACATAATCCATGGAAGATTTCAAATCTTTTGTTTCATGAAGTGTGCAGCAGGGTCAAATACAGTTCCGCTATTGATACATACCGAGGACTTGTTTTCGGCTATGCTACAGCGTGTCTGGGGCAACTGCGTACTAAATTAGTGGGGATCAAGTGACAGTGTAATCGCAGGATCATCACCTTCTCGCCATGGGCGACAGCAAGAATCAATCTATCACTCCTACCGACACAGCTTCTGGGCCAAGAATCAGCTTAGTACGCATAAGCGATGCAATTGCCGCGATTTAAAGTCTTCTGGATGTCTTGAGAACTTCAATTGAACCCTACTGGAACACTTCGCACAAGGAACGTTTGAATTCGAATTGGTTGTGCTCCGGAGGTCGGATGATATGAGAGACGGCTCAGAATCGGTTAAGAGAATGACCCTAACGGACTTGTAGTTATCGGTGCTGAACACCTCCAGAGCTAATGTTTGGCAGATATCCAATCCTCCAATTCCCATCCGTGATTGGTCCGGGCCATTAGCGGAGTAAATCCGCTCGCGGGACCTGGTTGCCAACACGCGACTGCTTAGCGCCGTGGTGACGGAGACAGCGATGGTTGCACCGCTCAGCTTGGAATGGCTGCATCCAACATATGACTCGGTTTACCGTCTTGCGGTAGCAGCCACGTGCACAGGTCTCGGTATGCTCTTTGCCCACTTCAATTCAATTCAACGCTCTTACTGATGCGATACAGCTGCTCGACGACACCGCCCCTGCCGTTCCTTACGCTTGACGAAACCAAGAGCACCTTCTCATGATCACGAAAGGCGTGATCAGCTTCACCTAGCAACAGTCCGTCGTGGCTGTCTCGAGATCTATAGCTTGCGCGGCTGGACCTAGAACCCACGGCTCTTTCCTTAAAACGAAAGCGCCAGTGATCCTTCAAAACTTGCTACAGCAGCATGTTCTGATTGCGAACTGGTAGCTCTATACCCCACGTTTCTACCAGTCTCGTTTTGAACCAAGCGCCCAGGATCACATCGCGACGTTGCGTCGTGTCGCATATCACCAGCAACAAGTGTTCGCGATGGCTTCTCCACGTCTGTACTTCATCGACTCTCTGTTTTATTCGCAATCGTAACTCACCGGGTGTCCATAGTCTCCGCGGGCGACGAGGTCCAGTATACCGCCATCATCGATACGATTCTCGCGACTGCCGACCTTACGACCATCACGCGCAAAAAGATACGGGCTGGTCTCGAAAGGGCACTCGGAGGCAAGGACCTCAGTGATCAGAAGGTGTGCGATGCGCACCTCGCTTCTCTCCAACCAGCTACTGACTGACGGCTCTTGTAGGACGCTATCAAGGCCCTGATCGAACAACGCTTTGACCACTTCACAGCTTCGGAACAAGCAGAAGAGGCCGACACACAAGTGAAGACGGAAGCATCACCGCACAACTCGAAATCACAGTACGGCTACCGCGACGAGGCAGCGGGCAGCGATGGGGAGGGAGAGCCCGCTCCAGCGAGGAAAAAGCAGAAGCGAGAAGCCTCCTCGGAGGATGCAGATGCGAAGCTAGCAGCTCAGCTCCAGGCGCAGGAGAATAGCATGGCACGCGGTCGTGCGACACGTGGCGCCAGCGTTCCGAAAAAGAGGAAAGCGCCTAAGAAGAAGAGCAGCAACAAAGTCAAAACAGGCGACGACAGTGATGTTGACGGCAGCGATGGCGCGACGCCCAAGCGCAAGCCCGGCGGCGGTTTTCAGAAGCCCTTCAATCTAAGCTACCCCCTTGCGGAGCTATTGAAGGAGCCTCAGGTGCGATTCGACAGTGGCCCCCCATGCGATGATTCTGCTAACACTTTCAACAGTTGTCGCGTCCCCAGGTCGTGAAGAAACTGTGGGAGCATATCAAAGGCAACAACCTGCAGGATCCGGCCAACAAGCGCCAGATTATATGCGACGCACCTATGGAGGCTGTGTTCAAGCTCCCTAAAGTTGACATGTTTCAAATGAACAAGCTGATCGGCAGCCACCTGTATCCGGTGGAGGAGGAACATTGAAAGAAGTTGATTCTAGGAGCGGTCGCATGGAGACTGATTGGGCATGACAGCGAATCTTTTCGCGATGAATATGGCTGTTCTGTAGAATGCTACAGGCCAGATGAGTTGGCTGGAGGATGAACTGGGGCTTGATAATTCTGAGCTCACGAGCAAAGCTAGAGATGCGGTCTTAGCACAAGACACTGCTCATTGATTTGTCACGCACCATACGCCATAGGATAAGGAACATTTTATTGCAAGCCTCTTTTTCAACTCATGTCTACTCAGGAATGTCATAATCGGCAAAAGCACCTCGAGTCCAAGGGCCAGGAACTTGCTTCACCTCTATCAGGTCCCTATCATTACATAGTGGCAACAGGCGCTTCATTGCCTCGACACACTGCTTCCGCCATGTCCTTATCTCGTCGCCAATCCCGTAATCCATATCCAAGTATGAAATCAAACACGAACTGATCAACATGACACCAACCACTCTGCGCAATTTTAGCATGATCGCGAGCGCAGCATCAATCGATGCCCACAGGGCATTGGCGCCGTCAGGCTGCTCAGCCGGTTCGAGGGTGTCTGGGCCAATGCCGAGAAAGACATGTTCCACGCTTGCGGGAGCGGATGAAATTGCTGTTGCTGCGGCGGCGAGAACATGCTCGTTATGAGGATGATAGCCGGTTTGAATGCTGAGGTTGACGAGCGAGCGTGCCGAAGACATGTTGATGTTGATGCCTGATTTTGTCAGTCGATTGGATGTTTGGTCGCTTTCGGAGACTGGATAGTCAGAGGTACCTGGGAGTTTGGGCGAGATGGCCAGTGATAGGAGGTTCGGCGCCGCGGCACCGACGAGTTTGGCTATGATCTCATTGTCGCCGCTGTCGAAGACGAGGGTCTTGAGTTCGGTGAGTGACCCCTTGGCTAGGCATGGCACAAGATGTTTCCAAGCTAGGCTTTCCGGGCCGCAAAAGATGTTTAGGTGACGAACCCTGTCGAGATGCACAGCATCATTTTGCGGTTGTGCCTCGACATGTGCAGAAACTGCAAGATCAAATCTTTCCTTTCCGTCATTCTCGTCGCTCTTCTCTTTATCTTTCGCCAAGACGACATCTCCGACTCCCAGGAAGCTAATGTTGGGCTGATCGAGCATCCACGGGATAGCATCATCCTCTCGCTCAGTCTTGAGCCACTGAACGATTAATGTTCCCTGTACCTGACTCCTCCTCAAGACCTGCGACCGCTTTTCCTTGGGAAATTGGCTGAGATCCAGGCACCGGATGGTCAATTGATAGATGCAATCAAAGTGACCCGTGACCTTTAACACAGCGTCCTGCTAGGCCGATGTTTCCTTCTCGTCACGATCCTCAAAATCTTCCGACTCGTCGATAGTGATGCCCTTGATTTTGCGGGGGATTGATGTACGCTCACCCAAGACTTTGACGAGAAGTTCAGCGCTGTCATCGCGAAGTGTCAGGGGGAGTGTGCTCCAATAAATATCACGACTTGGTGAAAGCCATGCGCGGTGAACGAGGCTGGTCTTGGAGAGATCTTCGCGGGGAAGATGGACAAAGCATTGGCGGAGGAGCTCAGGGATGAGTGCTGCGATTGCCATGGTGAGTGATGTTGGGCCTTTGTACTGTGCGGCTGGGACTTGCTGGCGGTTGTCACAGGGTCTCCTTGACGTTTCGACGTCGAGGTTGAATCCTGGAACACTCGGGATAAGAGACACCGACCAAGACTCTCAGGCCCTTTGTATAGTATTCTAGGTCAGACCAAAAGAAACGCATCATGGCGGTTGGTGTGTAGCCCTACATGCTTAGCTCCAACTGGCCGCCGTGGACCCTGCCATGCGACTGGACGAAGGCAAAGGTGATTCCTGAGGCAGCACCTGCATGAGGCTATCACCAACAGTGCTTACCGAACTCAGGTACTTGGTGGAAATGTGCACCACATGACGCACTCTTGATCCCTCACCCACCTACGCAATTTGACTGATTCCTAGCGAAATGACATGGAGGCAGAAGCTTTTACGCGCTTCAAGCCCATGTACGCCGACCTTGGTCCCATGTAGGGCCTTCTTCTGGAGAGCGGTCATGACTCCCTGCCGACAAGAGTCAGTCATCGCGTCAAATCGGCTAATTTTCGGCCAGAAGCTTCGATCGGCGAGTGACCCCTCCATCCACCAATCCCACCCACACCTTCGTCCATCGACCCCACGCTGATAATTTGTGTCTACGACCCAGAAACCTCAAGAGGCAAAAGTACTCGAAACTATTAAGGAAGAAAATCAAAATCACGAAGAGCAAAATTAAGCCCGAAGGCTCGGACTTGGAGCTTCAATTGAAATCAAGCAAGACAGTCTAAACGCTGATCCCATATCTGCAACGCGGTATCATGGCCTCGACTGAAGCTGGGGCCGCTGACAGTACGGCGTCCCGAGGCGGACAACGAAATCGAGGCAGGGGACGTTCGGAAGGCGGCGCATCAAGAGGTGGCAACAGCGCTTCTCGAGGCCGAGGTCAGCGAACGCGAGGACGCGGCGGCGGCAACCACAGTCGCGGCGAAAATCCGTCGAAACCCAGCAGTACGACAGCTCAATCGACGCAAGATGTCACTCCGCCAACCCAGGGGAACGCTCCACCTCCGACAAGCGATGGCAAGGCGGCAGAGGGTGCTCCCAGTACGTCAGACGGTGACGAGGTGTGCTTTATTTGCGCCGACCCCATCAAGTTCCACTCGATTGCACCTTGCAACCACAAGACATGCCACATTTGCGGCCTTCGTATGAGGGCTCTGTACAAGACAACAGACTGCCCCCATTGCCGAGTGAGTCCTTCCCTCTGTTGCGTTGCAATTCCAAGCTAACATGCTCTTTCCAGACCGCTGCCCCCTTTGTTATTTTTACCGAAGATCCTTTAAAGCGGTACGAAGAATACACCGATAGCGATATTACGAGTCTAGATAACAATATCGGCATCAAATACGCCAGCGAGGAGATTGTTGGCGATACGGTGGTCCTTCTCCGATACAACTGTCCTGCTGACGACTGCGTTTTTGCTGGCTTAGGCTGGCCTGATCTCCACCGCCATGTCCGTTCGGCGCACCAGCGCAAGATGTGTGACCTCTGCACGCGCAATAAGAAGGTTTTCACGCACGAGCACGAGCTCTTCGCGGACAAGGAGCTCGAGAAGCACATGAGACATGGTGACGACAAGCCAGGCGCACTTGACCAGACTGGCTTCAAGGGACACCCGCTCTGTGGCTTCTGCGGACAACGCTTCTACGATGACGACAAACTGTACGACCACTGCCGTGAGAAGCATGAGAGGTGTTTTATCTGCGACCGGAGAGACTCGCGACACCCGCATTACTACCTCAACTACCAAGCTCTCGAGCAGCACTTCTCCAAAGATCACTACCCGTGCCTTGATCGCGAATGCCAGGAGCGCAAGTTCGTCGTCTTTGAATCCGAGCTCGATCTCAAGGCCCACCAACTGAGTGAACATGGGAACACCTTGTCCAAGGATGTTAGAAGAGACGCAAGGATCGTTGACATGGCTGGATTCGACTTCCGGCCCGCATACCAAGAGGAGCGGAGAGGTGGTGGCGCCAACAGGAGGGAAGGCCGTGCAGGTCGTGGACGAGGGCGCGATCCCAACGCCGAGCCATTACCTCAGAGTTCGGCGCAACCGATGCGGCGCGATGAGATAGCTTACCAGAGGCAACTTGCCATTCACTCAGCACAGTCAGTGAGCAACCGTACGTTTGGCGGACAACTATCAGCAGCGCCGCCGGCTGCGACTGCTACTCGTCAAACTGGTGCCACTGCCCGACCTGCCAACGCCGTCTCTTCCGCATCGCAACAACAATCCGAGGCCGCAGACGCCTTGGGTCAGCTGACAATAGACCCTGCGACCGCGACGCCGGCAGACCGCGCCCGCATGGCTCGCCACAGTTCCGTTATTGAGCGTGCTTCGAACCTGCTTGGCCAAGATCAGGCCAAGATGAACACCTTTCGCCAACATATCTCCTCCTACCGTCAGAACAAGATGACGGCGCCGCAATTGATTGACGCCTTCTTCTCACTATTTGTCGACACATCGTCTAATGCCCTGGGCACACTGGTCCGCGAGGTGGCCGACCTGTTCGAGGACCAGACGAAAGCACGGGGGATTCAGAAGGCCTGGCAGGACTGGCGCGCCATCAACGAGGATTACCCGTCCCTTCCCGGTCTCGGCGGCATGCAGGGCGCAACGACCTCATCGAGCGGCTGGGCGTCCGCTGCCACGGCTTCGGCAGTGACGCCTTCGGCCGCTCCTAGCCAGAACCAGAAGCACTCGAACCGTGTTCTCCGCCTCAAGAACAGCACGCGCAGGGCCAGCGCCGGCGGCATCAGCAGCGGGCCTACCCCCTCCACATCTACCGCCGCCACCAGCTGGTCCGCGGCACCGGTGTCAAGAGCCCCGCCCTCCTCCAATGCGTTCCCTTCCCTGGCTGCCGCCGCTGCGACTCCTGCTTCTTCTACTTCGTCGGCATCAACGTCGCGTCCGTCATGGATCGGCCCCAACAATCATGCTCAGGGCAACACAAAAGCCAAGGCGCGAGTTGGCAACACTCCAGATAACTTCCCCGCTCTGCCAGCGGCGGCGAAGCCCCAGACAACAATCTTTGGGTATGGTACGGGCCGTGGCGTCCGTCGAGACTTCGGAGTTACGCGGGACACGGGCTTCAGCTGGGGATCGGGGGCAGAAGGCAGTGCCGATGTCAGCGCCAACCCTTCCGAGCGAGAGGACGAGGGGGGCGAGAGTGCTGGGGGTAAGAAGAAAAAGGGGAACAAGGGTAAGAAGGTCCTGGTGCAGTGGGGTTAGTGAAGGACATGTCAAGCGTCGAGCATACAGCGTCGATTCGATGAAAATGGAGTTCTCGTGTTGTCGGTCCATTCTACACGAGCTAAATATACCAGAGTCTACGGGCCAACTACAAACACTGAAGACTTGACTTTACGCCATGAGAGGTGATGGTAGACATCTCTAAAAAACTGTGTTCAGCAGCGGCCCTCAGAGGCCCGCGGGTTCGTAGTACTCCCTAAAGCGATCCGTCGAATCCCATCTCACATCCCACACCACGTTCCAGCACGCCAGAAGCAGCCCCGGAAACTTGACGGTCCAGAACGCCAAGTACCCCTCAGGCAGCGGGCCGACAGCACGTTTGAGAGTGTCGGGCATGTCTTCGTAATGGTTTCTCTTGTTTCGAAGCGCCCGGAGGAGGTCCAAAAGCCGTGAACCGGTGTACTTGCGCTGCTTGCCCAATGAATCTACGAACTCGCGCGGGAGGTGGCGGAGAAAGTCGCCCCGCGTGACGTCTGGGGCGTGAGACTCCAATTCGCTGAGGTGAGCGCTAGGCGGGTCGCGCGGTTCCTTCTCAAAGTGGTCGGACACGTCACACAGGAAAGCCAGTCTCTTCTTGGCCGACCAAAAGAAGGGATGGGCCATAACATCACGTGTTGATGGCCGTGACTTCGGATCCCCGTTGAGCATGCTGCCGATGAGGTCCTTGGCCTCATACGCAAAGTCCCCGAGAGCGTCCAGCGGCGCCAGGTTGTAGTTGCCCTTGCGAATGTTCACCTCTCGCATATACCTGTCGCCGCAGTCGAAAGGATGTAATCCGTTTGTCAAAACATAGTAAAAGACCAGGCCCAGACTGAAAATGTCAATGGACCGCGTAGCGCGGCGGTTGGGCAGCATCTCCGAGTTGACTAGAACAGTGCCAGACCCGCTGTTGATGCTGACATCCGTGAGGGGATCCTTGTCATCGTCGACGAGAAGTTCAGGAGCTCGCCAGCCCGTGGTGCCGGCGGCCCGTCCGGTAGTGGCACCGAAAGACGACTGGCCACCCTCGAGCTTCTTACAAAGGCCGAAGTCGGAGACGAGCAGGCGAGGGCGGCCATCCTTGCCAGTATTGACCAGGATGTTCTGCGGCTTTAAGTCCCGGTGAACGATGCGAAGGTTATGCAGATGGTCGATGCCATTTGTGATCTGATAGAGGACGCCAGGCAAATCGGCCCTACCAGCGGCAGCCACCTTGGGGAAACGACCAGGCCGCTCAACAACGTCAGCAAGGGACGCCGCGCAGCGCTCGAGGGCAATGTAGAGGAAGCCATCACGGAATTCTTGTGCGTAATATCGAATGACTGGACACTGTCAGCGGTCGGCTACATGATGACGTACATTGTACTTACCATTCGGATGGTCGTCGCTCTCGCGAAGGAGACGTGTTTCTTGTGACGCAATGTCGTAAAACTGGATGAGCATGCGCTTGACAGCGACCTCGCGACCATCGAACTTGCCAGCGAAGACAAGTGTTCCGTTGCTGCCTGTGCCAAGCTGGTTATCCGTGTCCACCTCGATGTTGCCCAACTTGATAACGGGGCCGGTGACAGATTGCATATCGTTGGCAACAGTGACGACATCGGGCTCTAGCTTTGGTGATCCTCCCAGCTTCTGGGCGTTTTTGACGGCATCCTCGACGGTGGTGGCAGGTGGATCATCGTCACGAGACTGAGACATTTCGCGCTTCTTCGCGGCACCTTTGCGATGCTTCACACCGCCCCTCCTGCCACGATGTGCCTTGGCCTTCTTCTTCTCGGCAGGTGTGCCCGGTTCGAGCTCAGTCTTGCTGGAAGATTCATTCGACTCAGGCGAATCGGAAGCTTGAGTGGCTAGAGCCTCCCCATCATCTTCTTTCTTGTCGCGGCTCTCTGTAGCAGATGGGGCTGGGCCTTCGTTGTCTATCGTGGAAGCAATATCATCTGCCTGGACAGGCGGTACCTCTCTTGCCTGGGTTTGGGCAGACTCCATTGGAGCAACCTTGTCGTCCGACTTGCCAATGATATCATCCGACTTCGACAGGGGCAGGATCCTGTCATCGATGGAATGGTTGGGCGTTGGTTCAGGCGTCGGATCGCCAGCTTCAGAACGGTGGTCGTGCTGGAGCAGCCATTTGTTGGACTTGTTCTTGTACCACCGTATCAGATCCTTGTGATAGAAGAAGAAGGCGCCAACAAGAACGATGATAAGAACAGGATTGCTCAGTAGATCGCGAACGCTATTAGCGGCCTGCTGAGGGATAGATTTGACCTTTTCTACAATGTTGTGCGGATCAAGAGGGTCAAGGATCTCGTCAGGCACCACGGAGGGCAAGGTGGCATCATCCTGAGAGTCCATGGCAGGATGCGAGATGGGGCTGCCTGGTAGGGTCGGCGGCTGCACTTGGCCGCGGTCGTGGTTGGCCTGCTTGAAGTTATGCCTCCCAATCATGGCGTCGGCCTTTTGGCTTTGAGTAAGACGACTCCAAGGCCGGTTGAACGAGCCCCAGTCAGACCGCGATGTCAATGCTGGTGGCGAGTCGACGATCAAGGGATAGGAGTAGCCAGAGAGGGCATACCAGCTGCCAGCATCGGTCTGGTTCAGGAAGACATGGCTGCCCCGCATACGAGCCGTGACCTCGTCCTTGGGAGCAGGGATGGGTTGGGGGAGAACCAACAAGTCTGGGTTCTTGTCAGGTGTGGCACCCCAGGGGCGACATACGTCGAAGACACGAGCAACAGGTGCTGCGAATTGGTGGCTAAAGAGCGGTTGGTCCTCGGGATCAAAGGCGTAGACACGACCATCATGGCGGCTGCTGTGATAGCGGTTATCCAGCGTTCGGCTGTATGAGTCGACGAGGTCTTTATCAAAATTATTAGGCGTCCATTCAGAGTAATTGAGCTTGGCAATGGCGCGTCCATCTTTGCGCGTGATGGCCACTTCGTACTCTGTACGACCGAGTGTGATGGTCCCCATGACGCTGCACTCTTCCGAATCAACATCAGAGAGGGCATTTGGCCGCAGGCAGCTCTCCTCATTAATGTGCGATCCGCTGGACCCGAACCACTTGAGAACCCTGCCAGTCGCGGCGTCGATGGTGATCATGGTCGTCTTCTTGGCGCCAGTATAGATCACGGGTGGGTCGTCGTTGGCGAGGGGGGATAGGTCCTCAACGAGGCGCTTCATGGTGAGCCCAGTAGGCACGAGCGCAGGCTCGCTGGCGCCAGTCATCCAGATGTAGAGACTGCCGTCGCGGGTGGGCTCGACAGCCCATATGTAATGGTCGACGTCTTGATGGTCCTCGTCGAGGTCTGACGCGTTCAGTCGGAAGTGCTCTGTCTGGACCATGGGTTGCTCGACCTCAAGGTGCCACCGCTGCGCGCCGGAGCGGCGGTCACTGGCATAGAGGTCCCCATCGACGGTCGCCAATAGTATGAAGTCTTCCACTTCCCATTCCTCCAGACTCCGCGCTCGTTGCGGCGATGAGATGCCAGACCCGCCATTGAGGTGGGCGCTGGGTCGATATCCGGGGGAAGGTGCTCGCACGGACTGAGCCGGAGCCAAAGTTGCGACGGCGCGCGCATCGTTCTTGTTTTTCTTGGTGTTGATAATTATGTTTCTCTTCTTCTTCTTGTTGTTATTGTTGTTGTTGTCATCCATGACCGTGTCCTCGCGTTGTTTCGAGGTCAGGGCGTCGGCAGCAGCGACGTCATTGTCAGTCTCGGCCCAGACATCGCCGGCCAGGGCATCAAAGCCTTCGTGCCCGTGAGCGCTGCGGGCATTGTGCTGCGGATCGGCATGCCGTACGTGGTGCAGTGACTGCGCACCGGCCTGTTGCTGCTGTTGCTGTTGGCCTTCGACGAGCGGCAGACATGTCAGGAAGAGGACGGCAAGGGCGAGGAGAGATTTTCGCTGTTGGGCTCCGGACCGCCCTTCGCCTGGTGGTCGTCGGAGCATGGTGCGATTCGATAGATTGTCGAGTCACATCTAGGCCTGGTGGGATGGGAGGTGCTCGCGTCGAGACATAGAGGTTGTGCGATTGCGTTTGGTTAGGAGGGTGGTGAGCGAGTCCGGGGAAAGTCGTACGTAAATGGACCCAGAGGGTCGTGGTTTTGGATGGGGAGGGGCTGCGTGTGGATGCAGTTTCCAGGCAGCCTTGCGTGGTTTTGGATGGGCGTCCGTCGTGTTACTGATCAGTGGCCGGGCTTCTTAGGCTTCTGTTGATGAAATGCGTTGCTGTCCTCAACTCCAGATGGATGTCGTGCTGGACAGGATACAATAGAGTTGGGGGAGGGAAGTGGGTGGAATTCCATGGAGGTTGCGGGAGGTCGGTAGAGCTGGGCCTCTACTCCTTGCGTGTGTGACATGGAGTGAGCCCCCGAACAGTGGCCATCTGTGCTGGAAAGGGAGCCTGCCTTAGGTACCTAGGCGGGTAGGATGTGGAGTGGAGAGGGCGGCGGTTGGCTGATCAGCTCTGGTTTTTCGCCCTCCCGCCGTTTCGTCTTACAGGGTTGGGATCCTGCCACCACGACCACCTGGAGGAAGGGGGAAGGTAGGCGGGAGGGGTGGCCCTGCCTGGGCTCTTGGAGGGTCACACCATGGTGGGGGCTGACGTGGTGCAGCATTCAGGGTGACCGTTCGAGTAACACTGTGACCTGTGATGGCAGATTGCTGCAAAAAGTGCTAGCTAGGCGACAGTGCGAAGGGTGCACATGAAACGAAGACGTGCCCTAAACTTTCGTGGGCGGCTCGTGCACGGGTCTTAGCTTCACGGGTTGGGGTGGAGACTCGGTTCACTGAAGTGCTCATGCACCTGCTCTCCTGGTGAAGATGCTCGCACACGTCCTACTGCGTCTTTCACGCAAGCCCCATGTGCGAACCCGCCAGTACCTAGCTGCGGGAGTTGCCATAGGTCCCCACCTTCACCATGTCAAGGCACAACTCCTCCACACGAGCAACGGCCGCCATCCCTTTGAACCCGAAATTGATCTCAGTACAAGCAA